TTATTATTATGCTTTATGATTAGAGCATTTTTCTGTATAAAATTACGATTTACGTACACATGAGTACGTTTATTCTTGCATAATAAGGTGCTGAGAATTATGAATTCTAGTGAGATTTTTTTCTTGTCATGGATGGATACAGCTCGCTGAATTACCTATAAAAAATGTTGTTTTTGATATATTCAGACAATGTTTTAATAAGGAAAATTAGAAAAATCAATAAAAGCTGTAATACACTAAAAATATCAAGTTTCGGCAGTTTCGATATTTATTCACATCCTTTTTTCTCTTGATTTTACTTGTCATATACTTAGGAAAAATATTATTTGATTATTGAGAAAATCGATTTTTTTTATATGATAACAGAACAGTATGAAGCTGGGTTTGTATTTTAATATTGCGACCATCAAAGTTTCAGTTCTGAAAGAAACCGACATCATATTCAGAATCAGCGAAAAATTCTTTATTGAATAGTATAATCAAAACAAAATTTTTATCAAGTTTCAGTTATTACACCTCCTAATTGATATTTTCGTACAGTCTGACCTATGTTTTCCCAAGGTCAAAATTTGTTGTGTATTGAGTTTACGATTCGATGCAAATTTTTGTGATTATTTCGAATATGATATTCATTTCTTTTGGAGTTGAAATTCTGATGGTTAAAATCATTGAATACAAACCCAGATTTCTAATGTTTTGCTATCAGGCCGAAAAAAACGATTTTCTCACCAATCAAACAATATTTTTCAAAAAGCATGAAGAATTTTGTTTTATTAATTATAGAACAAGTAAAATCAACAACACAAATTTGAATAAATATTGAGACTACTGAGACTTGATGCTTTTGGCGTATTTCAATTATTATTTGATTTTTTCCAAGTTTCATTACAAAAGCATCATCTGCTTTCGTCAAAAACAACATCTTACATACGTAACATCAGGAAATCTATTTCACCAGGACGCAAAAAAGTTTTGCTAAAATTTCGACTTATCGGCACCTTAATCATTATCATCATCATGAATAACATTTGATTTATACTATAGAAATAGTAAAAAACACCAAGTATAAGAAGATTGATAAATATGTTTTTAATAGTGATGATCACTAATCACGTTGATTATGATTCAAATTAGTCTCTAATCTATAATTCATATCTAACTTTGATTTATTACAGTTTATCAGACTCATAAAGTAACCATAAAAGACTTGAAGATGAAATACTGACACAAAAATGATTCATTCGATGCAGCTAGTTTTTCTAGAAACAAGAAAGACTTTTTCATTTTATTGAAAGTTAATTTCAAATTAACGAATTTTTTAATCATGTTCTTATCCTTTCTATACATCAATCATATTGATTTATTTAAATTTTAATATTTAGAACATCAACATGGGAATGTGTATGTCGTACATTAGATGAATGGAATATATTTATTGAGAATTTTCGTAAATTATGTTCAAAAAAAAATTCAAGTAGTAAAGATCGTAAATTATTAGAACGTTTGATTACTTTAAATGCTGAATTACCTGAGATATATGCACGTAAAGAACGTGATAGACAACGTCGTTGGACATCTTATGAACCAAAACGTTCATCAACACGTCTTGAAGCTAAACGACAACAACGTCTTGCATTAGAAGAAATAACACAAGAACAAAAAGCACGACATGAAAAATTTCTTGAATACAAGCGACGACAAGAAGAAACTATTGCTAAAGAAAAAGAACGTTTAGAACGTAATGAACGTGTTAAACGAAGAGAAGGTTCAATAAAAACAATTTTTTTTTTTGTTTTGGTTTTTAATAAACATCATAATTCGTTTTTTATTGTAGAACGCGCAGATCGTATTCGACGCCGTGCTGCTGCTGGATCATTAACCGGAGTTTTTGATGGTTCAGAATTTTCAGAAAATAGCAATGCATCTTCAACATTGTATGATGAAACTAGTAATCCAATTGATACCAGTGATATACATCAAAAAAGGAAAAAAAAAAAAACAATATTAATATTTGATATTTTCTATTTCAAATAATTTTCTTTTTATTCTTAGTATTGACTTTATTAAGAACAAATGAGAACAGTTGGCCATTCCTTGAACCTGTTACTGAAGAACTAGCGCCTAATTATTTCTCGATTATAGAAGTAAGAATAGAAAAACAAAGGTTTTACTTTATGATAATTTGTCTTACGACTTTCCAACGTATGCTTTCTTTTCAGAAAAAAAAAGCATGAAATCTTTTTCATTTTTCTGATCACACGCATTCTAGTATTCTGTAAAAGATTTCAATGTAATCAAACACTTTTTTGCCTGGTTCTAAAGAACATGTAAAGCTACAGTGCATGATAGAGCCCATTCTTTTGAATTAAGCTTTTTTATTATTATATGCCAAGGTACTTCCATAAATAGAAAACTATCTTTCGAGGTATTGAATGATGTTGTTATTCAGTCTCCTCATATAAAGAGCAAAGATTCGTAGAAAAGAATACCGTAGCCTAGTATACTCTTTCAAATGGAATAAACACTAAATCTAAAGAATCAGGGCTCACAGAAAGCAAATAAACTATTTTTCATTCTTGTATTGTGAAAATCTCCTTCGAACATTATGATATAAGACCGTGTATTTCATGAAATTTGAATATACTTTGTCGAAAATCGATTTTGAGGAAACCTTCCTTGTTTCCAAAATTTGTGTAGAGGGGTTCATCAAAAATAGTTGAAACTTTCAGGGTTGATAGGTCTCGATGCATAGAGCCATATTTGACGTAGACTTCGAATTCTCAAATGCTTTCTTCTAGAGACACTATGTAGGTCCCAAAGGTTAAATATCATCCTACTTTCTCAGCCGCATTATGCCCGATAGAGCCTGAGTTTTTTTTACAGATACTAGACACTGTTTGGAATGCCTAGTTTTTCTTTGCACTAAAGCTTTCGTTTTTTTGTAAAATGAACGGTGCAATATTTTTCAAAACAAAGAAGTAGTTTTCACAAATGGTTCCCGATTCATGTAAGAAAAGTTTCAGATCGATCGAAAACACTGTGTCAAAAAAGCGAAGACTATTGTACACTTTATTGGTGAAAAAATTTGATCTTGAGAAAAACGATAAACTAATTTCCCTTTATATATCAGTACTTTTTTCTCCAACTAAAATGATCGAAAACTGGCCACATTAGAGGTTCATGACTTATGTTCTCAGCATCTTTGTAATGAGAAATAATTATTATTATTAGGAGAATTTTAAAAGTGGGATTTAATGAAATTACTAACTAACAACGGAGAGCTCGTGTTGATATGATATGTAACAGATTACACTCGGAAGCTATATCGAAAATCGAAAAAATTTTCATTTAAACATCCAGAAAGTTGGAGAGAAGGGGAAGAATCCGCTTAATCAAGAAATATATATATATATATATCTTTGAATCTTTATTTAGAAACCAATAGATCTGTCGACAATACAACAAAAAATAACTAATAAAGTTTATGTTAATAATTCCGCTGAATTCATTCGAGATATTGAATTAATGGTCGCTAATTGTGAACAGTATAATGGCAAACGAAGCAGTAAGAAAACATAATTTAATTTAGTTTTTTTTCTCATTCGTTTATTTTTATTTAGTTTTGGGTCGATTAGCGAATCGTCTTCTTCGCTATTTTAAAGAATGTTGGACTGAATGTCAACCAATAACACCACAATTAGATGATGATATTGATGATATAAATCATCATCGTGATAATCCACTTAAAAGACGTTTAAATGATTCAACATCAACACCAATAACACGAGATAAAAATAATAATACAAGACCGCGAAAAAACTATCGACAATTAGCTGGGTTAAGTGACGATGATGATGATGATGATGAGACTGAATATATACCAATACCAAGCTCGAAACGCGTAAGTGATTTATAATAACAGAAAAAAAACATTTCTAGTGGAACGTATTTATCAATTCATTATTTTAGGCTCGTCATTCAACTACATCTGTACCAATATATATAACTATTGATCCGAATTCTCCAGCATTTGTTGTCTATCATGATCATTCATATTTTATACGCCATGAATCAACAAATTCATCAACAGATAATATATCTCGACGCAAATCATCGATATCAAATACAAAACCAATAATAAATACGGAAACTTCAACAGAACAGCAGCAGCAGCAACAACAACAAACTTGTTTACCTTCAGTTCAAGTTCTTAATCGTTTACTTCTTGAACATCAACAAAGAATGAAAAGTTCTTCATCGGATTCATCGATTAATCCTTCAACATCATCAACAAATACTATTGATTTTAGTGCTATTTTACGAGCACTCTTAGCTAAACAAGGTCATCATATAACAACAACCACTATTGAAAAAAATGTCAATAGTAATAATAACAATAATAATACAGAAAATACACTGTGTTCATCATCATCATCTTCATCCTTACAACCTATTATTAATTCTCAGCTACAATCGAATTCATCAACAACGGCTGCGTCATAATAAATTCTGTTCAAATAGTAAGACGATTAGAGAAAAAAAAGAAAAAATATTCTAATTCTCATTTCTTTTTCTTCTTATTATTATTATTCTGTACAAAAGTTTGCACTATGCGAAATAAATAGAAAAAACCAAACCCTTCTGAGTATGTTTCTTCCGCTTGTGTTTCTTTTTGTTTTCTTTTCATTGTATGTTTCTGTCTGTGTGTTTGTATGTATTGTTTTGATGCTAATGAAACGAAACAAAAAACTGTACAACAAACGAATAAAAACTAATAACCAAATGCAATAATATTTAAATTGAAATATTGTATAGATACTTTTCTTTACCAGTTTTTTTTTTTTTTGGTACCGGTTAAAATAATGAACAAACAAGACAAAAAGAAATCAAGCAAGCAACTACAAAACACATAAGAAAAAAAGTATAAAACTAGAAGACAAAGAAAAAATTGAATTCGTTTGTTTTTTGTTTTTGATCAAGAAAAATATTCGTAAGGAGTTTTAGTTATCAAAATCATCGTCATCATCTTGAGTATTTCTTTGTCTAGCACTAGTAATTAAAGAATCTATTGCTGAGAATTTTTTACCAGTTGATGGAGATGCATTTCCAGCAATATTTGTTTTTGATACAAGATCACTTAAAACCGATGATTGTCGGTCGCTATTTAGTGGTGATGGTGAACGTCGATCATTGAAATTGGAAGTTGATGTAGTATTTCTATATTTATTGTCATATGATGATGATGATGATGAACGATAATAATTTCCTGTTGGAGCTGGATTGTCAGAAACAATAGTATTTACTGTATAATCATTCGAAGGTTTTCGATTATTTCTATTATAATTGTCAGTATTGATGTATGAATGAGAATAATCATCTATAGAAAACAAGAAGACTTGATTTATTAAAAAGCAGTCAGTAAAATAAAGAATTAATTTTACCTGTAAAATCAGTTTGCCGCTCGCGACTACTTTGTCGTTCGTAACTACTTCGTTGATCGCGACTACTTTGTCGTTGATAAGAATCGTTCGATGCTACTGATGGACTTCGACTTCGGCTTCGTCGATTATCTCTTGTTAGATCTGTTGGTGTTTCAATTTTATTAATGACTGAATCCGATCGTTTAGTATTAGAAATGACAGGTATATCAACAATTTTTGATGTTCCACTACCATAAGACAATTTTTCACCTTCATACATATATTTACTTCGATCATTCTCTCCAATATAAGTTGATCGATGAGAATCATTATTTGTATTCGATTCAAAAGGTTTTTCTCTTCTTATTGGACTACTTGGTCTTTGATATTTTGTATCAACCAAAACATCATTACGTTGTGGATATTTTCTTGAAAATTCATCATTTTGTTTTGTAGCATGATAGTCATCTTGAAAGAGATGTTCACTTGAATTAGCTCGTTGTCGTGCTTGTTGAAATGATACATTTGTTGGATCAAGATCATTACCATAAGATGAACGACGTATAGAATGATAGTCATGTGTTGTTGATTTCTCAGTAGACATTGCTACACCACTAATCAAACCATGGGGACCAAATTGTTTTTTATAACATGATTTACAATAAATTTCACCTTTATGTTCAGATAATGTTGTTGCATCTAATTTTCGTTTACATGTACCACAACTAAAGCAACTTGAATGAAATGCCTAAATAAATGAATCATTATGTCGATATATATGTAATAATTAATTGAAATACAAACTCGACCAGCTCCAACTTTTTTCTCTGCTAAATAAACAGTTTTCGAACATCGAGCACATTTTTCAACACCACCACCATAATGTGGTGTACTTCCTGTTTGATGCGTTGATTGATTTGATCGATTTGGAAAAGGATTATTTAATGGATTAATATGATGTCCAATACCTGTTGCTGGCATTTGACGTGTTCCTTTCGGATTACCAGTAATACTGCAACACAGAAAAAAGAAATTGAATGCAATAAAAATGTTTTTTGATTTGACTAAGGACTGCAGACATATGTTCTACTATTTTAACTACTCATAAAATACAACCAAGGCTCCTCTTAGATCGATTAACATTATATTTTTATATCTATTGATCTAATTTATAGCTTTCAATAGAGAAGACTCAACAAAAAAGAGAAAGAGATTTGTTGATACTCACTCTGCTACATATTCTGAATAGTTGACACGGTACGTCGATGAAGAATTTGTGTTATTCGTCGATGTTCTTGAAGATGTTGACGACATGTCTGTTTTGTTTCTTAATAATGTTAATATCTTAAAAAAATGCAACGATGTTTTACTTTTATATATGCTTAAATCGTTACTCCTACTCTGCTTTACTTTTTTTTTCTTTTTCTCTCGTACTTTTTTTTCATCACGATATTTTATTCGTTCTTATTAAAAACCAAACGTGATGTTTGTCAGCAATCAATGAAGATAATGTGTTGGTGTATAGAGAGAAACTCAACGACAGGTTAGTAAGAGATTCATATACGTAATATATGACTCCTCTACTCTGTTTTACTTTCTGTTATTTTTTCATCAAAAAACCTAAATAGTCATCATTTGTCGATTGAAAACAAGAAAAAGAATCAATGAATCATCATTTTTCAATGAATCAGAATCATTACTCGTACAGGTATGCAGGTGGGTTTTGTCTGATTCGATGCAAAATAATCATTCGAAACATGTAAATCGATTACAGCAGGTGTTTAGACATTACATTGAATAATTGTGGTAGTTTGTTGCATTTGAAGTTTATCTTTCAGTGTATACTCTGTCGTTTACCTTGAATAATGAAGACTGCCTTAAAAAAACAGAATAACAACTGTCATGCAGTTAACTGTTATGTGGATAGAACATGAGCAAAAGATGTGTTGTCTTCGATTTTCAGAACTAATTAGATGGATAAAAATTGTACAATGAATGCAAATATATCAAATCTAATAACAGAAATAAATTTCTTTCTAGTATAATCTAAACAACAAAATTTTTTATATGTAAAAATAAAATTTAATGATAAAAAAATGGCTTCACTTAATTTAAAATGTAAGTGGTAATATGAAACAAAGCAGACTAAACAATGAATTTTTCTATAATTAACAAAAAGAAAGTCTTAAATCTTTGTCAAATATAATTATTTCGTGCAAAGACAGACCTAAGATTTCGGTGAATGGGAGCGATCACAGTCACAAAACGTGTTTTAAAGTCAACTTAATTAAAAGTCACATCGGCTCATTTTTTGGCGTTTTCTACGGAGAAAAATCGAAAAATAGTTCGGAAAGTATCGACGACTGCACCGAATGTTCCCACTTGAAATCCATCATTGATTTATGGATGATTTCAAATGTCGTCTAATTTTTTTATTTAAAAGAAAATATTCGAATGATTAAATAATAAATTGAAGAAAATCATTTCTTTTATCTTAAATAAATATTTGATTTTATTAAATTTTCACATAATATTGAATTCGACAATTCGCTTTTATAAGGTATACATGAAAAACTTAATTAAATAAGATATATTAATATTAATTGATTATCAAGTTGTTTGTAAATAAGAAAATATTTTTTAATATTCTATCAATAAACTTTTTTTAATAAATGATTTTTATGTCGTTTAACTGATAAACAAAGATTTTCAAATAATCATAAAACTTATTAACACAAATACGGTTAGGCCAGTTTCGCGCTACATTCGAAAAAAAAATACGAATCGATCCCATCTCTACTAATTGATAAAATTATTATAAGTGATAAATGTCTATTTATAATTGATATTAGATAGATTGGATATAAAATAAAACGCTGTAAAAGTATATTCATCCAAAATAGTATCATAGAGTGTATTGATTTAAGTTCAAATGAATATTAATTATTGTATGAATAATAAGATGTTTGTGGGTGTATTGATAGAAACCTACTGATAGGTACTATTGTACAAAAAAAATATTTAAATGAGACTAATGATGACATATGAGAACAAAATTTATATTTATTTTGAAGTATATGTAACATAAAACCATGATGCAATATGCTTGTTAAATGAAAAAAAAACTTCAAAAAAATCAGCACATGTTGTTTCAAGAAAAAACATAATAGACATGATATGCAAAATAATTTTGAACAAAAAACAATTATATTCAAGAAAAATCAAATATTTTTAATGATTTGAAAAAATAATCCAACTAAATATTAAGATAAATATTTGATCTTCTATTAGTTAAATCATTTAGATATGAACTTTATCGATAAGAGTAGATTTTGAATACAAGTAAGTTGATCATTGATCAATTCACTTTTTTCTCTCTCGATGACCGAATGAGACATAATTCATTGATTCGTTCGCTCTTTTTCCTCTGACTCAGATCTAGATGCGTCATCGCCTTGAAAATAGGAAGGCAATAGTAGAAAGAATATTTATTCTTTTTTTTGCTTTCTTCAGTAACAAACGGCTAAGAAAAATAAAGAACAACCTCTCCACATATAAAGAACAAGGTTGCTGTTAACAAATACGTGGGTTTTATATTCACGATGACTAATGCGTCAGTGTAATGGTTGCCAGAGAAATATAAAACTTTCATGAAAATGATGAAATAAAGCATCATAAACATATATACAAAGTTTACTAATATATTATACTATTCGGTTCATATATTCCATATAAAAAGAAAGCAAAAGGGCACAGAGATAAAAAAAATATACTTACAAAAAGTGAGTACACAAACTTAGAGCTATAGCCATATACAATAAAAGAATCTTTTACTTAGACATATACATATATTAAAGACGGCTATTTCAGCGATGGAAGCATTGGTTGGTGCTGGTCTTATGCCATTACCATCGAAATCTGTCGAGACAAACAATTCGAATTTAATTCCTGTAGTTACATCAAATGAACTTTATCCACTTATTAATGAAGATGCAACAGAAGTTCAAGATGAAGAAAAACTATTAAATGAAGAATTGGGTAAATTTTCAAAATATCCATCACTTGTTGAATTAAAAGCAATGATTGATGAGCAAACTCCTGATGCGCCTGCAGTCATTGAACCACCCTCAATAGAACCATTAAAAGAGTTCCTTGAAAGACGTGCAATAACAATACAAGGACTAAAAGATCTTCGAGTTCGTATGGCTAAACATGCTTTGAATTGTAAAATTTCCAATACAGTTGGTAATTCAGCATCGATTATAGGTGGACTTTTATGTTTTGTTTTTCCACCTCTTGGTGTTCCAGTATTACTTGCTGGTACTGCAACAAGTCTTGGTATGTTTATCATTTAATTTATTTTCTTCATAGTAAATCTTTTACTTTTTTAATTTATAGGAACTACTATTACAGAAGGTTTTATTGAAAAACGTCTTCGAACACAATATATGACTATGATAAAAGAAGACGCAGTAGCAATGAAAGTATGCGAAACAAATATAAGAGATATTACAGCATGGCTTGTAACTGTTTATTCACTTGGTTATTCTGTATCGAGAGCCGGAATAAATTTTTTACAATTATCTGAAGCTATTCAAGCAGCTTCAACATTAGGTACATGGGCTGAATTGGTTGCACAATTACCATCATTAGCTGGTGCTCTTGCAACGGGTGCTAAAACAGCTGGTACAATAAGTGGAAAAATTCTTGGTATATCAGTTATTATTTCTGTAGCTGATCTAATACACACATGGATATCAAAAAATGCAACATTAAAATCAATTGATAAAGATATTGCACTACTTGAACAACAATTAGTTGAATTAAAGCGAATAGCTGAAGCTTATCACGCTTAGTCAGATTTCTTTTTACTATTTGTTTCATTATTATTATTTTTATTAATAAGTTTAATATACTATAGAATAAATAAATTGATTTATTGTATTTAATTGCTTATTTTGGAGTTTTAACGGATTTTTTTCGATAGTATTATTGAAAAATTAGATGAAACATAGGCTTTGATATCTTTTATTGTCAAAAGGTTTTTGAATAGAATCAATATTTGAATAATTTGATGAGAAAATTTAGCAATTGCTGACCGAGATTTCTTACTTTATTTAATAAAATTATCTTTATATTCTTTAACAATGTTAAACTGTTTAGTTTGTGGTCATCTGTTGAGTCCTGACAAAAATTATGTTTTCTTTTACTGATTTACTGAAATTTGTTGTTTTTTTCCAATTAGCTTTATAGATGAAGATGTTTCATTTTGATGTAAGTTCAAACGTTTCGAATAATTAAAGACAAGAGAAAGCAACATAACTAGCATGAAAGAATTTTATGTTTGTTATATGGATTCACTAAATATGTGCAAACAGAAAAATTTAACAACTATAATGTTTTAAAATAGTATTTGGATTCGTTGAGAGAACATATACACAAGATAGTTTGATCTTTTGTTTAATTTCGTCATCGAGATTTGAGTTTATGCAGATTTTCAAAAGTTTTCCTCTAATTTTTATAAGATCAAATTTATTCTAGTCTCAGCCATTCTAAAAACATTCTTTGAAAAATGACATATCAGATAAGTGTAAACTATGATTCTTTCAAATCATTGTCTTCTACCAGTAAATTTGTAGCTTTATAGATCACGATTTGCTTTTATGACGGGTTAAAAGTTTGAGAAGACAAAAGTGAAGATTAAAAGCCGTATACAGTATTTTATCGAAAAAAAAACATAACGATAATTTAGGAAATAGAAACAGAACAGCGGTGACCTATTATTCATCGATAATGGAGTTGTTGTAAATATTAGAATGGGCACGAAAAATAAAATTGTATTGATCAAATGTCATGCAATAGCTTGTTATTTCATCAACGAATTCTATTTCCTCCATAATTTTATCCAGTGAGACACGTCACAATATTTGATTATGGTCTTGATTTGACAAATACAAAAGACCTTTGTTTCATTACCATGTTTTTCAGTCAGTTTACTGGTTACTAATAGGACATTCTGACGCAGCTACGAGTTTTCTTACCTTTCTAATGGAGTTATCGAGTTCATTATCTGTAATTGTAATCTTCGTTTAAAAATAATTTGATTACACGTCGACAAAAAATGACAACAGTACATTGATAGAATGAAGCAGAAATAACAATACGATAAAACATTTGGAATATATTCATTTCAGTTGAATAAAACATGTGGAGTTTGTTTTTTTGTTGGTGATAGAGATCTATTGAAAGTGTCTTTTTTTTTTCTCTTTTCATACTAATAACATAAAGAAGTGTTGCTTTGAACTATCATTTGGGATCAAAAAAAACTTTAATATTGATACCAAATTGATGTTCATAAAACAAAATTTTAGATTTAGCTAGTGTCAAAGTTAATAGTTAGGAAATTTCGAGCATGGAACATTGTTATCTGCATGAAAGTTGATAAACTGGTGCTTAAAAATTTTAATTATGCAGTTGAATTACTACGCACGAGTTCGAATGTTTGAAATAAATAATTATAAAATTTAGGTACAAGATAATTATATTATTTTGCATCAAGATCTGTAATTAGATTTTGGGTACAGATTTATATGCAACAATAAGATACGAGAGTTCGATGTTTCTCATCCAAGATCTTGAAATCTGGTCCAAGATCTGGATTTAGTAATACATACTAAAGATTAATTTTTCTCTGCTCGGAACTAGATCATGATGAATGGTTCAAGAAAACACAATCTTCCTTGAAGGATCTTTATGAAGGCGATGAGTTCAAACATTTTTTAAATAAAACATTAATCTCTAACTTAGATCGTCGTGTCTGTAGAAGAAATCTGACTTCATATTCAGATTTAGCGTCAAATTTTACATCGGAAAGAGTATTTGAGAAGTCTTTAGAGGCATCCATATAGAAATTCCATTGATCATTTTTGGAGCACATGTATTTCAGCCAAAATCTTATAGACCTGTACTTAAGATCTTATTAAAGATCTTGGTAGAAGATAATGTGATTATCTTCTACCGAAGTTTTCAAGATCTGTTCACATTTCTGTACGTTGTATCTTGGTCAAGATCTTGCTTACAAGATGTTCGACTAGGGAAGTAAAATTTCGTGTAAGACTATTACTTCGAGTATTTGAGGATTTTTTGACATGTTTACTATCAAGAAATCACTGAACAAAACACCGAAAGTATCAACATAGGCAACATAAAGCAGTTATAGGACATTTGTATTTGAAGAAAAGATATTTTTTCCAGAGAGCAAGATGCTAGCAATAGAGGTCATAATATATGTTATCTATGGCGTCAATAATACTTAGATGAGAAAGATGACCAGTTACTTGTAGAGAAAAGAAGATTTAGAAAATATTGTTTTTCATGAAGACACGATTGTTTCAGAAAACGATCTCTAATAATCTTGGATTCATTTGAAAATCCTTTGAAAGAGTCTCGTAAAAATAAGAAGTTCATTATAAAATGGTCATCAACAGAAGAAAATTTCTCGAAATATTGGCCTTTCAAAGTTTCTAAATATAATCATGAAATCGAAACCGATATTAAATATTTTGCTTGTTTATTTATTTCTTTATATTTAACAGTATTTTCAGCGTTATACAATCAAATTTATGTCACATTTCAGCAGAAGATGATCCATTGACTTGTCATAATACGAATTTCTAAAGTTGTTACTATTAGATAGAAACATGTTACTGATTGAGGCAGCAATATTCAAAGAGTACTTTTCAATGAAAAATTCCAGCTTGCATTCAAACATCTTAATCTAAGGCTATTTAATTGATATTTTCAAACTAAAATTTGAAATTCTTTTCTAAATTGATTAATAAATTAAGTAAACATAAGATATTAGAAGTTAATTCTTTCAAGATTTATGAAATTTTAGTTGCTGTTGTTCTACTAGTCATATCAAACTTCCGGTAAATGATAATCTGTTCGATAAGTAATCCAAGAATAAAGTAATATGGGTCAGGTTCACCGATAATTACTATTCTACGACGTAAAATTATCTTCTAGAAAAGAATATTTTTCATATTTTAGAGAGGTCAATTAAGCAAGAAGACCACACAGAGAATAGTATCGCTTCACGTTTTTAATTTTCTCTCCCTGTGTACTTACGCCAATATATGAAAAATGCAGACAGTACAGAAAACGAAGTAAATAAAAATGAAGAATATATCTATTGCTGCGTAAATCAATGCAACGTTTTTTGTGCAATGTTATATATCTATAAATCATGGTCAATCATTATTAATCAAAATGCAATTGCTCTTATTTTTTAAGTTGCTATCAAAATATTTTTTTTCACATTAATATCACAACATCCATTATTATTTGTAAATTTTATAGCTTAAATGGTAACTAAAAAGCAAACAAAGCGACATTTTCAAACTTTCAGAGTGTGACAAATATATAATACAATGGCAAATAATAATATTTATATACCAAACAAATATATTTCAATTTTTCTCGTGACTTAAGTATATAAAGAAAGATCTTTCTTTCATATTATAGCAAAATAAGAATTTTTTCTAGCTATATAGTAATACAAGCTAAACGATTGGTTTTGATTTTGTTACTATCTTTCTTTATGAAATCTATATATGTTGCAAAAAAGAATACATATATCCTGCTCTATTTATTCAATAGTGCTTCTTAATAAGTTTTGCATATGTAATTTGTATCAAATCCTACTGAACCTATTGATAAATTCCATTTATTCTAAGACAATGTAGAAAGTTAGAACGTGCACACTTTTTCAGTATTTTAATAGTTTCCTTAAAGTACATGTTTCTTAATAATAATTATTTTATTTGAGCATTCTTATTGAAGAAAACGACTATTTTAATTAAAGGAAATAAAACTAAATGTGTTTTCATTATATATCAGTTGTGAAAATATGATTTTGACAAATGTAAGATGAACTTTCTAGCATAAGGCAAAAGTTGAGCATCTTCAAGCTTCATTATATTCTATATTCTAAAGAAAAAAGTATCGAAAATTCATCAGCATAACACAATCTTAGTTATTTTTTGTTGATTGCTAGCTCTCGTAAAGTTTTCAGAAACTTCGGCAGTATCATTCCTAAAAAAATCCTTAGAAAACAGTGTCTAAAAAACATAAAAAATCTGCGAGGTCCTTATAGTGTTGACTATGTTTCTCTACAATCCCTTCGATTTGTAATATGGTTTTTATGGCTAACGACAGATCATGACTAGGCGCAGTTTCTGAGAAAAAAAATCACGTTGGTGCCACTAAGTCTTGAAGGACAATGAAAGACCACAAAAATATGAATAAAATTGAAATTCTGGATTTTTGATTAAAAATTTTGACATTTTCAATTAAAAAAAATTTTTTTTCTTTAAAACGAGAGAATGAAATTAGTAAAATTGTAGAGCGAAAAAGGCTCTACAAAACTAAGTAAGAGAATAATTGTTATCATATTCTGATAACGATGATTTTCATATGATAGTCTAATGCTTTGAATCTAAATATTTGAAAATACCAAGTTATATTCCATATAGGAAAAATTCTTGAAATTGAATAGAAACTAATCTGATTTATATACCATTAGATGTAACTTTTCAAGCTCTACAAAATCCTATATTTTGTTTTTCTAAGTGAATAAGTTAAGTTATCCGACGGGATCCTTTGTTCTATGTACACCAATGTAATATTATTACAAAACTTTGCTTTGATTTTTTTTGTTCTTGTTATTGTCTAAATGGAGAAACGAAAACTACCGGTGAGTCATTCTACATGCTTTTTTCTTACCTGAGAATAAGTTACATTTCTTTCGTGAAGCTTAAAATGATCCTTCAAAGCACGATTTATTTACATGATTGGTGTGAAAACAAAAAAAAAACTCGTTTCAATAAATGTCTATAACTAACAAAACATTGAATCAAGACGGATATATTCCGATCTTTCTATCGTTTAGTTACTTATAATTCATTCTCTGTATTATATTTTATTTTTACAAAGAAACTTACACATCAACAAAAATTTTTCATTTTGTATCACAGGGTCTATTAAAATTTATAATAAGTATATTGCTCAATGTTGTCACAATAGGCAGAATGACGAAAAACAATAATAAATTATGATATAATACAAATCACCGTTAAGATTAATATAAATCATTATGCTTTACAATTTCGTTATTTCACCATTTTCATTTTTATCTATTGAGTTATTTGTAGGGATTGTTACTGAATTTGTAGAAATCATAACTTCATTGGAACCTTTGGATTTCCAATGGATAAAAACAATAATACAAGCAATACCCGATATTATTCGTGTTGAAAAACCTGACAAAGCCATTGATATACCCATCCGACGGTTGTCATATACTTTACATGTTTGTCGCTCATAACAATCTTTAAGCCATACTATACATGATTGATCAAAAACAAATCCAAATAATAATGGACCCGTAGTTTGACCTAAAACTCGAACAACTGTTTGACGAAGACCAAGTGCCATACTTTGATATGGAAGTGGTACACTATACAGAAGCACTTGTAATAATGGAACTTGAATAAATGCTGTAAAGAAAACAACAAGTGTAGCACCTGTCATTGTCAAAGCAAAGATCATAGTACCTAAGAAGAACAAAAACAAAATTTCATTAGAGAAAATATCAAAATAATAAATTTTCTTACAAGGTATTCGTCGAAATCGACAAGCTGCTTCAGTTAATCTTACTGCTGAATCAGTGGCACAATTACATGATGAATAATAACTAGTAGTGTTACTTGAAAATGTTGTTTGATTGGTACAACCATAGTGACATGGTGATAAAAACATTCTACGAGAATTACCTACGACACAAACTATAAGAAAATATTCGCTATTTCGATAGATATTTTACATAATTAAAATCTTACCTGGATGATATACATTTTGACAACAAGCTGTATTAATTGTTGTGCAAGACGAATATTCAAATTTAAGTTCAGGACATGAGAATGTAAGAAATAAAAATAGAAACGATGATATGGTAAATACTATACCACAGACACGTGCACATCGCATAGGTGTCCAAGAAAATTTATTTAAACACCAGGCACCAAGTGGACAACCAATAATAACAGAAAGTAGTGCAATGGCACCAGTTACTAATGTAGCTGTAGATGTATCTAATTGATGTTGATATTCAAAATATTTTGTAATAAATGGTACAAATCCTAAAGAGAATTTATTTTTTATAATTATTATATAATATATAAAAGAATAGAAGATTTACCTTTGATTAAAATGCCTTCAAATAAGTTTGCAATAATAATACAAATATATCGTGTGTTTTTCATCAATTGACCAATGACAGAACACATATGTTTAAGATTTTGAGATATTGTTCGTTTTGGTATTTGAGAAGCTGATGAGACAGTTGTTGTTGAGGATGGTACTGATGATATCGAATCAGTTGTGGTTAATGGCACCGGTATTGAATCAGTATCTGGTGTTTGATTATAAATCGATTCTGTTGAATATGCATGGTTAATAAAACTCTCAGCAGTATTTTTTATGGTTAATAATGAATTCTTTGTTGAGTTTTGTTCGAGTGGACTCAATTGACGTAATCTTCGATTTGATAAACGATACTCGTCAACAAGAGGTTTCAATGATGGAAGAGAATTTTCAAATTGACTTTTTGAATCAGAATTTAATTCAGATGAATTATTATATAAGGCAGGTGTTTGTGGACATGAACTAAGCATTGAAATACTAGTTGCACTATCTTCTCGAACAAATCGAGGATCTAAATGAGTCAAAAATAAAATGTTCTTTCAAAACTTAATTAAAAATCAAAACTGAATTGCTTACTTGAAGAATTAGAATCAACTTGAACCGCCAGAGTTGTATTAGATGCGTCAATCGAATGTTTTTTACCAGGTTTTTCATAATTGGGCAAACCAGATACAAACAATCCAATAACAAAACATAGTCCACCATAAATAAAATAAGGTAACCACCAACATCCAATCCAAAGTGGATGATTAGGTGTTAACCAAGACGGAAGTCGTCTTTTAGGTGTAAGTTTTGTATACATTAATAAAAATCGACCTGTAGTTACTATACCAAGAGCACTACCAACAGTACCGACAGCAAAATAAATTCCTTGACAATAAGCTGCTTTTTCACGTGGAAATATTCGTTCAATATAAGCAATACCAATTGTAAATAAAGCTACACTTCCAATACCATTAACAAAATTACCGATATATAAAAGAAATTTAGCATTTTCCGATATACTTGAAGAATGTCCTTGATTTGAACATAATAGATTTGTTATATTTTGTTCATTAAATGGATCTTTATAACATTCAAAAAGAATATCATCATCTGTTGATAAATACTCTGCTAATTCAGAATTAATATTTAGTCTTGTATCGTGATGAATAAAATTACTCGAAGCAATTAATATATTTCCAATACCAACAATAATCATATTTAATGAAAAAAATATTGGTGATGAATATCGACTACCTAAATAACCAACTAATGGTGATGAAAATACTGTCGCTAAATCGTATAATGCCAAAAAAAGACCAGATTGTACACTATTTAAATAAAATACACGCTCCAGTGTTAATATAACTGCATTATTTGCGCCATTAACAGAAAAATTTTGCACAAAATTACAAGTACATAAAATAATATAAGCAAATAAAGGTCGACTTAATATACCACCAATTCGAACATTTCTCCATCCATATAATTTATATTTTGAACGTGTATCATCATCATCTAAAGGTTTATTTGTTGTTTGTATCACGATTGTTGGCGTCATTATGAAGTTTAATAATACCAAGTCAAGTTAATCAATTTATATAGACAAAAAAAGAAATATCTTAAATATTTCAATCTATCACGTCAATAATAAAGATGTCTTTTTTTTGCTTTCTAATGATCTATAATGTTTATATAATACTAAACATCAAATAACAAATGATTAGAAAGTATTATGAGATCAAAAGGACCTTTACATATAATCTTTTTACTAATGAAGTAAAAGTAGCAGTACAAAATAAATTTGAAAAGAACTAAATTGTATACATGAGGCAAACATTATTCTTGTCATTACCTTCGAGTGCAAAAATACGACTTACAATGTATTTTCAATCATACTTATGTCTTCATCCACAAATAGGAACGTAATTTTCAATTTTCTTTTTATCTATGTCAATATGTAATCTTGTAAACTATGTTTAATTATCTATTTCTTTTTTTGTTCTGTGCAAAAATTCTTCTTTGCATCTGCAGAATGAAAAAAAGCAGAAGCTTTAAGCAGTAATGAGCGTGCTTTTCTCGTTTCTTGAACGAGTATCTTTCTGTTACGAACATGTCATTATTATTACTTGTCTCTTCTTGCATTTATATTCCGGATTTGATGAACATTAGAGTACCATGGTGAAGTAACAGAAAACACTGAAAATAAGAAAAAAAACCTCATACCGGATGTATCAGAAAAGATTATTAATGGAAAAAAATGACCATGTCTATTTCAATCTAATAAAAACATTATTTTCTTCTTGCTTTGACAACATGTAAAACAAGGAAGAGATAAAGCAACTAGCTCGAATAATAAAAACAAATTACTGAATAATTCAAGTAACTATTTTTTCTTCACTAATAAAACATCAATCTTGTCAAAAAAAAGTTTTGAGTCTTATCTTTTTCATTCAAATAATAGCTTATGAAAATATTTTTGTTTTATAAAAATACGTGATATTTTAAATGTTTAAATAATTCTAACAACAAGAATCCACAGTATAAAAAAAGAAAATATTAAAATAATTTTATTAATACCACTGGATAAGATTTCATAACGGATACAAATAATACTTTTTTCTTATTTTTTTTTAGAACGAATAAAAAAAACTGCTTTTCTTTTTATTATTTGAAATGTTTTCAGATTGATCCAATGCAATCAACCGTTGAAAATGTATAAACCCATTGATTCCTCCATGCTTAGTTATTCTTATTTGTATAATCTAAGACAAAACACGCAACTTACTTTGACGTTTTTTTCTTTTGACAAGATATTCTATTCATTTTTTGATTTTTTTTTTCTCATTTACCTTTCTCTTCTTGTAAGTTAGCGACGCTAAAAACCGAGTTTTCTTTTTTCTCTTATCTCTTTCTGCTCCATCGTTTTATAAATTGAGATGCTTAAATATTTGAGTGACTTGACATTCTTCTCTCTCTCTTTTGAGTCATCTGAATTTTTATGTATAATCAACCTATCGTTCAATATTTTTCCTACAACATTTCTATGTACAAATGACAATGAATTTATGTAAAATTCTAACTGAATATTCTTCTAAAAAAAACGAAAGAAATGATACGTAGAAAACTTAGAAACGATTATATAGAACGATATAGAATGAAAGAAAAAACAAACATTGACGTAGTCTTCAATTTATTCTTACTTTTTTTTTATTAGAAAGAGTGACGTACATTATAAGAATGCTGATGAAACGTCATTGTCTAGATGACAGAAAGAAGGAATTACCTATAAAAATTATAATCCGAGGCAGAGAGATAAATTAAAAAAAAGATTCACCTTCAAGGAAAAATCACTGTCCATTGTTTGCTCAACTAATAAATAATAGATAATAATAACTGATACGTTATTCTTATTATTCAATATCAGGTCATCTAGTATATATAAATAAAATATATAATTAATTAGTTTGTTTTTCGTTTTTATTCAACCTAATTTCGGCATTAAAAAAACAAACGAAAAGAGAGTATTTGTCTACCAAACAGAATAGTGCTATTACAATTCTATATTGATTCATGTCAATACGCGCACATGTATTGATCAATAATTGTAAGTACTCGATTGACATTCCGCCGTGCAAACATATTAAAAAAACTGTATATCACAAATCCAATATGACTTATATAATACTCTACACAAATAATTCTGTACAAATGTCTTGTGCTTTATATGATTAATTCATAAAAAGAGATCTATGCGGTATAATCACAATAATGTGATGCACTCGTACAAAAATACAGTGGATATATCTATGAAGTGTAGTTCCCGAAAACTCAAAACTTATAATGGATTTATTGCGTAGAAAAAACTTCTATTTAAATAACTACTCAGAAATGAATGAACTATAATCTAGAAAATATGATAAAATGTGCAAAAGTTAGACTTTGTTCGAGTGTAGAATACTAAATAAGTCTAATAATAGTAATAATAAATTGTTAATTGACTTAACCTACTATCAAAAGAGATAAAGTACATAAAATGGCTTCATTTTTTACTTGGAATCTGTCAAGATGATAAATAAAAATATAAATCTGAATATGATTTGTGAAAATTTGATCTATCGAGTATTATTCGATACTCTATATCTGTTATTGATTTCTAGTTTCAAATATGAAATCTATGAAATAAGCAGTAAACAACATTTGAAGTTCTTATTCTCCATAAAACAAAAACAAAATGAATTCATGTTAAATGACAAGATTGCTTATATGGATTTTTTAAATTGTTTTTATTATTTCAATGAACTGGCATTCCTTAACATTCTAGAAAATACGCAATATAAATAGTAAATGTCATCTCTTCATTAATTCTCCTTGATGTTGCGTGATAATAAAACAAATTAATTGGCGCGTTCAACACTAAGAAAATTCTAAGTTCAAATTGAAAAAAAAGTTTTTTTTTTATGTCCGAATATAAAGATATTCGTCAGTAATATGAAAATCTTTTATGTTAATAAATCATAGTAAAAAAGTCGTCACAAGATTATATGAGTATATATAAGTACTTTCAATCAGTTTGCTGAATGGTAAAAATTGTTCACAAGATCACTTTAAGAATAAAATGTCAAACAGGATATAACTAGTCTTATTAATAACAAGAAATATTAGAGAAGCTGGTTGAATGCATTACTATGTGTATTCTTTAACATTATTGAATTTAATGAGAAAAATTATATTAGTCATACTCTAGCACTTTGTTTAGTTTACCTATTAATTTCTCGTTTTCCCATTACTAAATTGTAAAAATAACCCAGTTGAATTTATTTTTTGAGGTCATGTTTCCTAATGACAGATAATAGATCATTGCGTAGGTGTTTGTCATGACCTAGAGAGTAGTAGATTCATAAATTCTCTTTATATTTCAACACTGGCTTTAGTTCTTGTCTCAAAATAAGAAAGATGTATTGAACCATTAAAATACTCATTTTTATAGTGTCTATTATTTACATTGTTTCCTATGAGCTGATTGAAAATGATGAAAACAAATTTAACAACAATAGCGTACTATGACATTAGATACAAAATGGATAGAATACTAATAAATTAATTCTATGATGATATATAGAGGGATTGATTACATGTGTAACAGCAGTAATAATTCATTTACATGACCTAATCTTGATTTATGAAAACGATTTTTCTTTGAAATCACTTTAAAATGATGATATTGTCATTCAAAAGTCCAAAATCTGTAATGATAACATTTAGCATTGCTATTTATCATTTTCTTCAAGATTATCTATTACTATCATGAAATATATATTCAAAATGTTAGCATATAATTTATTTTATATATTAAAAACATAGTTATCAAGCTTCAAAATTTGCAATAAAAGCAATAATAGCGACCGTACTAACTAATATCGTCATATAATTATAATGTCTATCATCAATAACATGTTGACATTCTTCCTGTTCAATTTCTGATCGTGGTGATGAACAATGTTGTGGAACTGAACGTCGATCACGTGATGATACTAAACGAACATCTGATAGTTGAGGTTGTTCTTGAGCAAGAAGAAAATATTCTGAATCACATGATGACAGTGTTGTTGGTGCTGATTCAGCTAAACCACGTCGTACAAGTTCTTTATTAATATTTAAATTATTTTGAGCTAAATTAAATATTTCACCAAAAACATAAGCTCCTGGTGAATGTATTGAACGATCAATAACATGTACACGAACAAGATCATTAGGTTTAACAAATGCTTCTAATGGTCTATAAAAAGCTTTTAAATAATTATAAAACCCAAGTATATCTTTTTTTTTAATACAAACTTATACGTAAGTGGTTCAAGAGGATGTTTACGTAAAAAAGCTGCTTTCCAAATATTAGTTGTATAGATACATGCTAATTTAATACGTGTTGTTCCATTATATCGTGTCCGTACTGTTAATGTATCAATACTAACATGTGTAATTTGTCCGACTAAAATAGATGATTAAATTTATAATGATGAAATAGATAAGCTATAAAACTTGTTAACCTAGATCAAACGGAAATTCGAGGGCACTTGATTTACTAATATTTTGATATTCTCGTGGTCGTTGAAGCACATTGAGCAGGCGAGTAGAATTTGTTTTATTAGTACCATTGCATTTAACAACGGTAAGAACGATAAACAGAAACCAGAGCCACATTCATTCAGTGTTAATCGTTCAATTTATCATTCTGATTAATTGTTAATATAAAATACTGAAGAACCTTGAGCATCATTCGAGGAATTCTCGTTATGCATCAAATGGTTCTTAATGTCTAGACAATGATTATTATTCCAAAGAGTTACTAGCCATGTTAATAATACATTGTATGTGGCGTCACCAATATAAATCAAAATAACTCGATGAAAGTTAATTAAATATTTTCTTTTTATACAATTTATTGAATATATTTAAATTCAATTATTTTTTTTTAGAAAAGAGTTGATGATTGTTCATCAAAAATTCAACAAGAGGTCGCCAACGATCATTCTTTTCAATTCTTGATAATGGGTTCTTTTA